GCGGCAACATCTTGTACAAAACAAATGGATTCAACAAATACAAATGATGAATTTAAAATTAATGGAACTGGATCAAATCCATATTGCATGGTTACAAATAATACAAAAATAGTTTATGATGATCAGCCAATTGAACGTAAAAATGCAAAATCAACATTAAATCAAATTGGTTACATCGATGTTGGTGGTTTAAAAAAACCATTAAAAAAAATTAGAGGAATGGTTGAATTACCATTAGAACAACCACAATCATTTATAACAACTGGTGTTAAACTGTCACATGACATCCTTCTCATTGGACCACCTGGCACAGGTATAGTAAAAAAACATTTATTTAATTAAGAAAAAACAAATGTTTTATGTTTTAGGTAAAGTATTGATGGTACGTGCAGTGGCAAATGAAACAGGTACCTTCTTCGTCTTAATTAATGGCTCAGACATAATGTCAAAATCAACTAATGAAGCCTACTCTAGTTTAAGTAACGCATTTGAAGAGAACAATTTGAAGAAATCAAAGGTATATTAATTATAATAAAATTTTTATTTAAATAATTTGTTTTGTTTTTAGAAATCTTCAGCTATCATTGTCATCGATCAATTCGATGTAATTGCTTCAAAACGTGAAGAAACACATGGCGAAAGTGAACGTCGTGTTGCATCAAAATTATTAAAATTAATGGATGAACTTAAATAACGCTCAAATGTTATTGTTATGGCCGCAACAAATCGACCAAATTCAATTGATCCAGCACTTCATCATTTTGGTCCTTTTGATTGCGAAGTTGATATTGGCATACCTGATGCTGTTGGTCGCGTAGAAATTCTTCGTATCCATAAAAAAAATATGAATTTATATGCTTATATTAATCTTGTACAAATTGGTAAGAAAACACATGGTTATATTGGTGCTGATTTAGTATTAGTATGCTCGGAAGCTGCTGTCCATCAAATTACAGAAAAAATGCATAATATCGATTTAGAAAAAGATACAATTGAAGCCAAAATACTTGATCCATTAACTGTGTCTTAAGAAAACTTTCAAATTGCACTTAGTCAATCAAATCCATCACATTTACATGAAACAGTTGTTGAAGTTCCAACAACAATACGGGAAGATAGTGGTGGTTTAGAAAATGTTAAATGTGAATTACAAGAACTTATTAAATATTGACTTAATGATCCAGAAAATTGTTTCAAACTTGATATGACACCATCACGCGGTGTTCTCTTGTATGGACCACCTGGTTGCGGTACGTTGATTTTTTTTGTTGTTTGTCACATATTTATTTATATTAATATTCAATTTTAGGTAAAACATTATTAGCAATAGCTATTGCTAATGAAGGTCGAACAAATTTTATTTCAATCAAATGCCCGGATGTGCTAAATATGCAGTCTGGTGGATCTGAAGATCATGTTTGGGATGTATTTGATAAAGCTCGTCAAGCAGCACCATGTGTCCTTTTCTTCAATGAATTAGATTCGATTGGTAAGTTAAAAAAAAAAAATAAATAAAAGAATATGTATATTTTATTTTTAATGTTTATAGGCAAAGCTCGTGGTGGTCCAGCTGATCGTATTATGAATCACATTTTAACTGAAATGAATCGTATGGATCCAAAGGAAAATGTTTTTATTATTGGTGCAACCAGTCGACCAAATATTATCAATTCAGCTGTTCTTGAACCAGGTAATACAATGAAGATATTTTGTTTTGTTACTTAATTAAATTATTCTGATAGGTCGTCTTGATCAACTGATTTATATTCGATTGCCTGGCAAGGAATTATGAATGGCTATCTTAAAAGCTGTATTAAGAAAATCACCTGTAGCCA